TATGCCTTTTTTAGTTAAGGCCCACCAAAGAACTTCTCGAGGTACCCTATCATATGCCTTTTCTAAGTCAATGAACACCAAATGCAGATCGTTTTAGTGTTTCTATACTTCTCCACAACTTATCTAAGAAGGTGAATGACCTCAGTTGTTGAGCGTCCAGGCATAAAACCAAATTGATTCTCCGAATTTTTCACACTTTTACGAAGTCTTTGCTCAACCACTCGCTGCCAAAGTTTCATGGTGTGACTCATAAGCTTAATCCCTTGATAGTTAGCACATTCTTGTACATCACCCTTATTTTTAAATAAGGGAATGAGAGTACTCTTCCGGCAACTTACTGGCATTTTGTTCTTTCTCCAAATCATGTTGATGAAACGTGTTAGCCGCTCGATGCATTTCTCTCCCAAACTTCTCCAAGCCTCGATCGGTAAGCTATCTGGGCCCATTGCTTTCTTCTGCCCCATTTTTCTCATAGCCTCTTTAACTTATGTTGTTTGAATCCTTCTCACGAAGTCCCGATTTACCATACACGCTGGTAGAGTAAGATCATCAATACCTTGCACTTTATTCCCGTTGAACAAGGTATCAAAGTATGACCTCCACCTCTCTTTTATTTCTTCGTCGTCCATTAGTACCCTTTGATCGACATCCTTTACACACTTAACTTTTCCGATATCTTGAGTCCTACGGTCAAGAAGGCGAGCAAGTCTGTAAATATCTTTTCTCCTTCCTTAGAGTCCAACTTTACATACAATTCCTTGTTCACTTTTCCTTTGTCTTCCTTCACATCTTTCTTTGCTCTTCTTCTAGCCTCTTTGTACTCCTCTATGTTCTCGTCGCTTCAAATTTTGCCCAATTTCTTATAGCATTCCCTTTTGGTCCTTATTTCTTGTTTCACCTCATCATTCCACCAAGACATGTCCTTTTTTGGTGGCAGTCATTCTTTAGATTCTCCGAGTATCTCTTTCGCCACTTTGTTAATGGTGGACTCCATTGATAACCACACATCATCCACATGTGTGTCATTATCAATAGACCATACATCTTCCTCCAATATTTTGTGTGCAAAACTTTGTTGGAGATTCCTCTCGAGCATCCACCATGTTATCTTTGGCTCCCCTTGTACCTTAACCCGTCTCCTCTTTTTACCTCAAAAATCAAGCACACGCATCCTATGGTGAGTGACAGCACTCTCACCTGGGATAACCTTACAATTAGTGTAGCTAGTTCTCCAAGTCGTTCGTACTAAAAAGTAGTCAATTTGGCTACTATTAGCTCCGCTTCTATAGGTGACAAGGTGAGAGTCTCTTTTCTCGAACCAAGTGTTCATTACAACCAACTCATATGTCAAGGCAAAATCCAGAATGTTCTTCCCCGCTTCATTTCTAGTGCCAAAATCATGACCGCCATGGATACTCTCAAAACAATCACGACTTGGGCCCACATGCCCGTTGAGGTCGCCTCCTATGACCAACTTCTCTCCCCTTGGCACTCGTCGCACCACTTCCTCAAGATCCTCCCAAAATTGTTGAGTGATAGATGCATCCAATCCCATTTGCGGTGCATAGGCACTTATAGACATGATCTCATCCCCTATTATCAACTTAATGCTCATGATGCGATCGTTCTTCCTAAAAACTTCAACCACACTGTCAACATAATCATGTGCCACCATAATGCCGACTCCATTTCTGTTCCTCTCCCTCCCCGAGTACAAAACCTTAAAACCTCCGGGATTAATCTCACGTGCCTTTTCTCCAACCCACTTAGTTTCTTGCATGCACATTATGCTGATATTCCTCCTCTTCATAACCTTGGCTATCTATGATCTTCCTGTAAGAGAACCAACATTCCATGTCCCAAAATGCAATCTAACACCCTGTCTTCTCTTCTTCACCCCACATCGACCCCCACCATGCCCTTGCTTATTTGACACCATCCCCGAGCATTGGAGTGGCACGTCGCTTCCGGGTGACGACCTAGCAGCCTTAACATTCTTATCACCACACCCAGGCCTATGAAGTGTAGCGTGCCCTTTCTCATTTGACACCACCCCCAGGCGGAGGGATGACGCGTCGCTTACGGGCGGTGACCTAGCTGTAGCGATATGTTGGAAAAATGTGTTAAAAATTTGCATTAAATGGTCATTTTGGGGCAATTATTTGAGTGGGGTCCACTTCCGATTTGGGTCGGGTCAAAGTGGTTTCGGATTGCCCTTGTTAAGGGCTACAATTCGATATGTGGTACACTCAAAACGGATAACGGGTGAATGAGAAATTGATTCTCGAAGTTCACTCGTTGAAATGGAAAAACTGGGAAAAATGATGAGTTTCTAGTGTGTTTTATCCCACACCGAAAAACTCAAGGGATTTTCACCCCCTTATAAAGGGAAGCCTCTTTTAAGGAGTTACGATTCCTAAAGGGAAAGGCTCTCTCTTACGCGCAGGGGGGGGGGGGGGTGCCGATCAAATCCCGAAACGGAGAAGAAAAACCGCGACTCGTGTGCGCGGGCGACCTGCGGACACGAATGCCGTCCAAAAATCTACGGATAATTTTTGTTTTCTTCCCGAAACGTTTATTTTTTTCCTAGAAGTGCTCCGGACAGAAGGCCTCGAACAGAACCCCTCGAAGGGGTGTTCTGCTGGCTCCGAACAGAAACCCTCCGAGGGGAGTTCTGTTGGCTTCGGACAGAAACCCTCCGAGGGGAGTTCTGTTGGCTTCGGACAGAAACCCTCCGAGGGGTGTTCTGTTGGCTTCGGACAGAACCCCTCCAAGGGGTGTTCTGTTGGGATCTTCTGCCACGCACTTCTTCCGTTACAACAATTAATGCCCAACGTTCTTCTCTTTTAATGCTGCGTTAAATGGACAGTTTATGGACGATTCAATGCCCAACGGACTGGTCATTGATGTCCAACGTTAAGGTCCATTAACACCCCATTTAACACACAACAAATCCTCCTATAAATAGCTGGCAGGTGCTTTGCAACAAACACACGGTTTGACAACGCACAACACTTTCCTCACGTTTTCTTGAGCTAAAAACTCTTCCAGCTACTCCCAAAATTCCTTCTGTGTTCATACTTGGTTCTCGTTCGCTGGAACTCTTGTTTGTGTGCTCAAACATTAGTTCGTAGTCATCGTATCCTGGGAAACGATTGTTGCAACGCTCCTAGCACCGTGGGAGGCAACAAATACGTTTTAAGGAAATCGTGCGTAGCACGATCTTTGGCTAATTCTGCTTCATCTCCTTTCTTGTTTTTCTCTAGTCATTTTATTTAATTAATTTACTTTAATTAATTTCTTTATTTTCCGAAACACACCCAACACGATATTCATATTTCGATTCATGTCATGCGATGTGACTAAGTGATACTGTTGGCCGTCACGCGCCTACCACAACACCATCCTCCTTTATCCTGGCTTGGGACATGCATGATACAAAAAAAATGATCTCATGGCGGAGTTAATACTAATTAAGTTGCAAAACTACATAAACATGATACAACAAATAGTCACACACTACACTACCGAAAGTTAATAGTCATTAATCATTTTTAAAACTTTAGAATTCTTTCAATTTATACCAAATATATTGTAAATCATCTAAAAAGAATGGAAAACAACATTTATATAATTAAGCACACATATAGTTCTTTTTGGGAATAATACAGGGATACTTGAGGTCTAAAATTGTTGGTATTAATGAGAGATTTATTGAAATGAAAAAATATAAAAACCTCCAATGTATTATTTTTGATTACGTACGTAGCATCGATATGGGTACACGAAAATGCAGAAACGCGGAAACATGGAAACGGGTACGGAGATACGACAAAATAAAAAAGGTAGGATATGTGACCATATTTATAAATATTAAAAGTTATGGGGGTGTATTTATAAATATTAAAAGTTATAGGGGTGTATTTATAAATATTAAAAATACAATTTTGTTTTTTGAAAATATATACATATTATCCTCCGACGTCTACCCATTCAAGGCATTGAATCATTTTACGTTTTAAAAATACTTGGATTTAAATTCATATTTTATCTCATATACACTAGCGCATCTCAAAATATAAATATAGTCAATAAGTCATTAATCTAAAATGAGAAATAAGTCAAACAACTACATTTTTTAAATTAAAAATCCAATTACGCAAAGTTCTAGAATAATGAAGATAGAAAACAATATTTTAAAAGTTTTAATACATATTTCTGTTGAATTGGAGCTATTAATTTCCAGGGATAATTATAATTAGGGATATGAGGATGACTGAATTTGGAATAGGCACATTAGTTGTGTACCACATAAAAAGCAAGGTAAAAATTATTTTTAGCTGTTCATTTTTTAAGAACTTTATTATGTAGAGTTTGGATGTTTTTCTTTTAATTTTGTAGTGGAAGATTATTTTTTAAAAAAACTTGATACGGGTATCCGTCAAGATACGAGTATCCGAAATTTTAAAATAATTATGAAAAAATGAAAACTTCTAAAAATTGCAGATACGGCTCGAGAATGTACGGTACGACTGTCCTACAGTATCGGATACGAGAACGTTTCCGATACATCGATACGGTACCCTGGTAAAATATTCGTGCTTCATAGATTTTTGAATGATTTGATTCGATATTTTTCGATTTTCAGTTAAGAATAAAAATATATACAACCATTTGAATATCTGATATTTAATTTGGCACCATTACACTTCAGTTTGTTGTGAGTATGATTCTTTTTTTTTGTGAATTTTGTGCCCACGGCCAGTGCACAATTCACTTTGGAAAAAAAATTGCTGTTTTTTGTGTAGGAAGGTGGAAGAGGTGATGACGAGCGCTTACATATTTGTATTTTTACTTTTTAAGTCATTTTTTAAATTTTGTTAACGTATTTTTCCTATTTTTAATTCATTTTATTAGTTTAATTCCTTATATTTTTTAAATTAAAATATTAAATATTTTATTTTTTATTAATTAATAATAATATGATTTACTTATTAAAATGCGGATAAGTTTTTTGGTTTATAAGAGTCGAGCTATTTCTGTTTAGAGAATTTAAGACATTAACTTTTATTCTTGAGCTTTTATTTATTTACTCTTATTTGGAGGATTGATTACCTTATATTAAAACATTGGGAAAGACATTAATTAATTATTACTGAACATAACGAATGTAGACACATAGTAAATGGGGTCAACCCAGTGGTAACTATTTTCGAACGCGCCCGGCTCGACCCGAAGATGTGGGTTTTAATCCGCAACTGCCCAAGTCATATCGTTCTCGAAGATCCAGTGGCAGACCTCGATTTTGCCCGGACCAGAACCGAGGGCGACGAAGGCTCCGTGGGTCGGGCTCCATGATGAAGTGTCAATGTGACAGATGGCGACGCCGTGGTTGATCCTGGACTTGGTATCCGGATCCAATATATCCGCTTCGTAGACCCGGACTTTGGGAACCGAGTGGCAGTAATACACTAGGTACGGGTACAGGGTCTGGTGACAGGACACTGATTTAGTGACTTTTCCACCGTTGATTCCCCTGACCGAGCCGATCAGGATGTCCTTGCTCGACCCCAGCGTGCTCTCCGTTGACCGCACGACGACGTTTCGCCCCAAAACGCTGGTGGCGAAGTCGATCATGTCCTCCACGGAGGTCACGCACCGCTTGGTCTCCCCCCGGCTCGGCGCTCGCTCGCACTCCTTCAGCGCGTCGGAGAGGATCTTGCCCATGGTTGAATCGTCGCCGGCAGCATGGAAGAGCTCCTTAAGCTCGCCGATCTTGGAGGTGGAGAAGGGCAGCTTTGTGGCGATGCGGCGGGGCAAAAAAGACCTTTTGGGCATCCTGTCACGAATGTCTGGCATCGGCATCACCGTCCCACTCTTCAACAGCTTCTCCCGAAAGAACTTCCCAGGCTCCACCGTCCACCTGCTGCTGCTGCTGGCCTTTCCCTTCGCGAGCGAGTCCGTGACCTGGGAGCTCGCGTTCACATAATTCGCAAAAGACACAATATTTCCCTTCCGGTCGATGTCCTTGAAAGTGTTGTTCGGGCCGTAGCCGGAAAATGTGGTTTTCAGGGAGCCATAGCTGGTGAATTTGTCGGATCCTTCGTTGAAGGTTTTCCCGTAATTAAGGAAGGCAGTCTCGCCCGAGCTGGAATCCTTGCCGTACGATTGGAAAGAATCGTCTCCCACATTGGATTGATCCCTGTAGGAACTGAAAGTGTCAACGGCGGCGTTACCGCCGGCGCTGTACACCGCAAAGTTGTTCTGGGGGACATTGCCGTTGAATCCGTAGCTGGCAAAGGTGTCATTAGCGGCGTTGGCAGCCTGGCCGTAGGTTTTGAACGTGGACCCGACCACATTGGAGTTGTTCCCATAGCTACTGAATCCATTCACTTCTCCATTGCCGTTCTTTCCGTAGCTTGCAAACCGTTGGTCGCCGGTGTTGGCATCCTGCGCATATTTAGTAAATCCCTGCCCCCGCCCGTTGCTGTTGTCGGAGTAGGAGGTGAATCCAATGCCGACCGAATTGACGTCCTGCGCGTAGGTCGAAAACTCCCCATCCCCGCCTGTGGATCTGGCGCCGTAGGTATTGAATTTCTCGTCAATTACGTTGCCGCCCGTGGCATATGCCGAAAACCCTTCACTGTGCCCGGCGGAGTCGCGGCTGTACCGGCGGAACGAATCGGTCGGGATATTATCGTTCTCCGAGTATTTCTGGAACGAGTCAAACCCTCCCGCCCTACCCGTCCCGTAATTGGTGAAATTCTTTTCAGTGTAGACGGCGAAATTGGCGTCCTGGGCGTGCTTCTCGAGACTCGGATTCAAATCGGGGAAGCAGAGCAGATTGGCGGAGGAGCAAAACCCGGCAAGCTGAGCGGCGAGGGACTTGGGGTCCGCCGCCGCCAGCTTTGAGAAGCTGGCGTACTGGGCGGCGGTCAAGGGCGAGGCCTTGTTGAGCAGAAACCACGGCTTGGGCAACTCATTGGAAATCTGAGTCTTCCAGTAGCGAATCGCAAAAGCCTTGGGCGTGAAGGGGTTGGATTCGCCGGAATCCCCACCGCTAAGACTCACCTGCAGAGCAAAAAGGAATCAAATTTGCATGCTGTTTTCAAAGAGAGATGGATAGCAAAACAAAGACACACTTACATTGAATGAAAGAGAGCAGAAGAAGAGGAAGATGATGGAGAGAGAAGGGCGAGTAGGCATATTGTAAGTGAAGATGTTGGTTCCGGAGCCGAAATTTTATAGTGGAAGCTTTGAGAGTAAGAGTAGACAGTTGAGATGTGGACGGGTAAGGGAGCCTATGTTTGTGATGGTTGAAAATAATGCATAGTAGTAATAAAAGTACACAAGGAGGTAAAGTGTATGTTTGGTACCCAATTTGGCTTTTTCTATTTCACAAATCACATTACAAAAATTCCATACTTGATCTTGTTGGCTCAAAACAGAATACTTAGAGAGAGAGAGAGATGAGTAATAGTGTAATACTGTCTTGTGCTCATGAAATTTGAAATGATTTTGAATATATTTGTGTTATCTAATTCTTATCTTATCATGGTTTCAAAATACATATAGATATCCTATATATTGTTGATGAAGTATATTCCCGTATACCTCAGGGGTATCATAACCGCCGGTATAAAATATCACGGACGCATTTTGAAATACGCAAAATATTAAGTTCACATCCAGGGCTGACCCCGACCGCCGAGGTCGGGAAAACAACAAGCTCAGGGGGCATCTGAACTCGGCGAATAACGAAGTCATCCGACCCCGACCCCGACCTCGAGGTCGGGAAGACATCAGGCTCAGGGATTAACCGAAACCGGCAACTTATGAGCCCGACCTCGAAACATCCGAGGTCGGGACCAGGTTTGGCCCCGAAAGTCAAACAGTTGGTCAACGACAGTCAAGCATCAGACAATCAACCACCTGAGAGGCGAGTCCTCCCATCACGAGCCCGAACTTCTGAGCTCCCAGGTACCGACCTCAGCAAAACCCAAGGTCTGGATAAAGGATCATAGACTTAGACAAAATCCGCAAGGATCTACCCCTCAAGGAGAGACCGCCATGTCCCCAGGGAATATTCTCGATTACCCACGCTTAACCACACAAGATTTTTGGCAGCAATTCTTTTAGGAGCACACTCCAATCAGCCAGCTGTTGAAGACTCTCTCTCCAATCAGCTTTACACGTGGTTGCTCCCCATCGAATTAGGCTGTTAGTTTGTTAGAGTAGCTTTACACGTGCCCCTCTCCTATTAGACTAACATCTTTTTACTTGGGCACCAAGTATTGCCTTTTACCTCTTAGTATAAATATCACCTTCCAACTTGTGGAAATGGATGCTTAATTGATCGCACTTTGAATTCTATACTGTAAGACTTGCGAACTAGTTCGCTCTCTCCCTTTCTTCTCTTATTCTCGGTGGATTCCAGCCACCCCTGGTCCGACGATCCATCATTTTTTGGTGCTTTCATTGAGAGTTGAACTGTAAACAAGTCAGATCCTCTCGATTTTCTTCAGACCTATAACAAACTTTTATGCAACAATGGCTGGAAAGAGAACCCTGAGAAGTCGACGTGCTGCTGCCGCTGTCGCACAGGCGGAGCCCTCACTGGAAGCTACCGCCACTTCTGGCGATAGGAGAGCCACCAAGGGAAAACAAGTTGCTGGAACTTCTGCGGATCTACGCAGTCAGATCTAGCGTGCTTCCCCAGATCTGCGCCAGCAGATCTCGCTCAGCCGTGATGCAGCGGCAATGCCGTCCGCACAGGTGATCCCGCAGTTCCTGAGTCTTCTATTGGTGGATCCCTCTGTGGCGGTTGGCGCCCTCATCACCGGATTGCAGCAAGTACTCCCCACACTGCATACCCAGCCTGCGGCTATTGTGGCTCCCCAGGCTACCAGGCCTATCTCACCGGCGAACTCTAGATCCCGGTCTCTGAGAGTGGGCTCTATTGACGCCCCTCTGGTGGTGGAGAGACCAACACAGATGGTCTACCAATCTCCCCCCCACCAAAGGGCGACTTCGGGGATCAACTTTCCCCCTATCCGTCAGGTGGCTTCCGCAGCACCTGTGAACGCTGTGCCTCTCGCCCAGCAGACGGGAACTTCTCGTCCCGCTGCGGCGACACAGAGAATGGCGCCACCTCCCACGCTACCGTCCAGGTACACTGCACGTCGTGTTGATTACGGCTGTGCCAATGATGAGGGTGTTTATGCTGCACTACTGAGGACTCTTCGCAATCCCCCTCCCTGCAACGGGATGACAACCCCAATCCGTGGATTGAGGTGGGAAGGTGTCCCATCTTCTCCAGATTGGGGGACAGATCCACGGTGAATCAGCGCCTGTCTGTCAACATACGGGGGATTAACAGGGCAAATTCCCCAGTCCTCGACATCCCCCGGCAGCAGCAGCAGCAACAGCCTAGGAGAAGGACTCTAGAGTGTGTACCCGCTTTGGAGAGGCTAGGGGGCAATCATTCCCCGAGATTCGTCCCCCCCATGCCACCAGTAGATGCCTTCTCCCCCAAGGCAACAACGCGCTTCACCATTGTGACAACAAAAACAACAGCCCCTGCGCCAGCCAAGGGTATCACCGCCAAGGCGGCAGGTGGAATCTCCACCATGGCGCCAACGCCAGGTGGATCCACGGGAAGAGCAGATCTGCCTCCTGACCCAATAGGTCAATGATCTGCGGGCTGCAGCTGCTACAGCGGTACCTCCACCGCCTCCCCAGCACACGGCGCGTGATGCTCAACTGGAAGCGCTAGCACTCCAGGTCCAGCAGCTCCAGGCTCAGGTCAACCAGGAGCCTACTACGATAAGGGTAAGGACTGCAACCCCCTTTACCACACGGATTATGCAGGCCCCTATACCCCCAAAGTGTAAGGGGCCCAACATTCAACTCTATGGGGGTAAAACTGAGCCCCAGGAGCACTATACCCGCTACCAGTCCGACATGTATATGTTGGGCGTTAGCGATGAGTACATTTGTCGTATGTTTCCCTCCACCTTAGAGGGGGAAGCATACGACTGGTTCAATGATCTCCCTGATGAGTCCATTGATTCATGGAGGGAGTTAGCCACCCGCTTCCTCACCCACTTCGCTGCAAGGGCAAGGACGAAGAAACACTTCTCCTACCTGTTGTCTATTAAGCAGGGCAGAGATGAGCCACTGGGCAAATTTTTGGAATGGTGGAATGAAGAGACCTCCAAGGTCTACGGGGCTGACGATAACACTCGTCTAGCTATGCTCCCAGAGGTCCTGTGGACTGGTGGCTTCTCAGCGGGCGCTTCACCGCGGGCAAAATTATGCCTTAGCGGAGGAAGTGCACAGCCGCAAAAAAGCACAGGAGAATGCTGTTAAGCCACAAAAGCAGGAATAGAAGCTGCAGGATAAGCCAAGGCAATCGCGGGAGGAAAAGCCCTGTGATGACATGCATCGTTCCAGGGGCAACTTCAGAGTCAAACCCCCCTGGAACGGCCCCAAGTTGATGGCGCCCAAGGTCCTGACCCCGCTGACCCATTCTGTCACCCATATTCTGGAAGCAGCTGATCAGGAGGGCTTGGTGGTTCGGGACCCGCGAATCAACGAAATCCAGCAGGGGGACAAATCGGGCCCCTACTGCAAGTTCCACAGATTTCATGGCCAGACAATGGAGGAATGCCACACGCTTAAACTGGAGATCGAGAAACTAATCAGCTAGGGCTACCTGACCCGGTTTGTCCGGAAGCCACAATCAGGTCAAAAGCGGGGCCATGAGCGCAAATTTTGAGACGACGAGCGGGAACCAGACCGCTCCCTGAGGAAGAAGGATATTGGATTGATCTCCAATGATGGTTCGGCCGAGGATAACAGGCGTAATCAGCGGCGCCGACATGAGGTTTGGATGATCATCGGAGGAAACATAGGCGGAGATACTGCCGCACAGAGGAAAAAATGGAACAACAAGCTTTACGTGGGGGAGATTTCAAACCCCCCACCTGCTGCCAAAAGAGCAAGGTCAGACGTGATCTCGTTCACCGACCGTGATCTGCCAGACTTCCCTTCTCCCCATAAGGATGCTCTGGTAGTGAAATGCGAGGTGGACGCAACCATCATCCACCGCGCCTACATTGACACATGTTCTTCCGTCAAGATCATGTACATACAGACGTTCCACGAGTTGGACCTCCATCTCAACTCCTTGAGGCCCATCCGAACTCCCCTCTCTTGATTTATTGGTGACTCTATAGACGCCGAGGGCACTATCGAGCTCACCCTTAAGTTCGGAGATGGATCTTACCACTCCCGGATCCCCGTGGAGTTCGTGGTGGTGCAACTTGAGTGTGCTCACAATGTCATACTCGGAAAGCCAGCACTGGAGGATCTGGAAGCAGTGATCTCCATGCGGCACCTCTGCATGAAATTCCCGACTGAGACCGGGGTCGGTAACTGCAGAGGTAGCCAGAAGATAGCCAGATCATGCTATATGAAGATGACAAAGCGGATGGCAGCCAGAGACATGCGCATCAACACCATCTCACAGACCGCCCTCGAGGAAGAAACTCCCAGAGCCGAGCCTGGAGATACTTTGGAGACTGTCATCCTGGATCATTCAAACCCAGAAAGAGCTGTTCAGATTGGAACGAACCTGAATCCAAGACTGAGCTAATATGCAGGCGGGAAAGCTAAGGATCAAATGTGATTCAAGGCTCGTGGTCGGGCAAATCAACAGCTCTTGTGAGACAAAGGAGGCTCGGATGAAAGAATACAAAGCTGCTGCACTGGAACTCCTAGGAACATTCCAGCTGTACGAAATTCTGCAGATACCACGAGCTCAAAACCAGGAAGCTGACATCCTGTCCAAGCTGACCTCGGACACGCCTGAATATATCTCCAAGATAGCTCAGGTGGAGGAGCTATAGACGCCGAGCATACAACAAACTCTTATCCACCAGGTACAATCAACCTATCCCGAGGGACTGGACGGCTGATCTCATGGAATACATTGATAATGGGCAACTGACCCAGGGTGAGGCCGAGGCCAGACTTGTCAAACTCCGAGCTCCGACCTACACCTTCCT